TGGCGTCGGCTGGACTCAGGAGCACGTTGACGAGCGCGATCGTCGAGTGCGCGCTGTAGGTTCTCCAGTCGAGTGCGCTTAGCCAGATTGGCCAAGCGAGCCTGTTCCAAGGCCTGGGCCTCGGGCGTTTCTCCAACTATAGAAGTATGCAGGGCATCCATGTTTCGGCGACGAAGTTCTTCTCTCTGCTGCGAGGAGAGAGGCTCGGGGCGGTACTCCTCGCGAAAGCGCGACGGATCGCCGTTCCCGTCACCTCCGTCTTCACGATCGAAGCCAGGAGGACCGCGTGGTCCATTGACCATCAGGACTTCCGCTGCCGAGTCATTGCTGCCGCACTCGGATGCAGTCTCTACGGAGCCGGTCGACAGATCGAACAGGTCGTAGAGAGACTCGTCGGGCTCGAGCACCGCGACTTGAGGGGTGGCCGACTGGCGGGCCACTGCATGCTTCACCCACCGTTGAATCCTCGACCGGCCGGTGCGCTTGCTCCGGCGGGTCGTAGGGAGGGGGAAAGCCGTTGGAGTCGACTGGTACTAGGTTGACGGTTGCCGCAGGAGGACGCCGCGGACGCACGCGTGAAAGTGCGTCGCCCCGCGGGCGGGGAGCGCGTCGACGTCGAGTGGTGCCTCCTGAAGCCAAGCGGAGTCGTCGGCGACAAACACGAGCGCGCCGAGACGGATCTCGCGGCCCTCAGCCAAACCTTCGCCTGGAACCATGATGATGGCTATCGGAAAAAATTGCAACTTCTCCAATAAGTCGCTAAGACACCTGCCCCACGATGGGCGCCAATTGTCGTGGATCTAAGACTGACAGTAGAATGGGGGGTAGGTATGAGGAGGCAAGATCCTAGCTATGGAGTAGTTGTACACACGAGTTTTATGAGTTCAAGCCCTTCTCGGAGGAAGTAACAGCCCTACGTCTCGGTGCCCTGAGGCGGTCGACTGGATTATATGTGTGTGTGTGAGTTTACAAAAGTGCGAACCCCTGTCCCAGAGGAGGGGGGTGGCTTATATATAGAGAGTGCGCCAGGACCCCAGCTCCCCTCCGTTACTCAGGGTTCAATGCTCATAAAGGAAAGGCGTTACTGGTAACGTCTACAGTAAAATGTCATAAATGCTCATAATGACATGGTTTAAGTCCTAACCGTAGGGTTCCTCATCTTCTGGTGGTCGAGTGTCTTCAAGGTGGTCGAGTGAGCGCATCTCCGCGGTCGAGTGGATGATGATTTCTCTTCGACTGCTTCTGATTCTTTGTAAAGATGTCCTTGGGGAGGGTATGCTGGACAGGTCCATGACCCTACCCTAGGTACATAGCTTCATCACGCGCCACCGTGGAATTCCACATACAATACATTTCTCTCTATTCCATCTTGTCTCCTGCGGCAGTGGACACAGCCAGATAATCCACGTGTGGAACGCTCCCCACGAGCGAACTAGGAGTGGAGGTGGTGAACTAGGATGGGGACTAGGCGATCGAGGAGGAGGTGTGGCGGGCGCTGCCGATGATTACCATCAGGGTACTGCTCGATAAGGGCGATGACTCCACGCGCCATGCCATCTCTATGCTGCTCGCAAGTGAGGCTATCATGATGAGTAGCCGGCACGACTGGATTCATGACGGGGCGTGACCTGATTTGGGGCTATCGTGACCTGGTGCACCGCTTACAGAGCAAAATGTCTTGCCACCGCCCTCCTCATCTGAGGCCATATCGCGGGTGACGTGTTCACGGGCACAATAACCTCCCTGCTAGGGGCGCAATTCATCTTCTTTTTAATTAGAATGCATTATGTAATTTCAGGGACCCTTTTATAAATTTCATTGTTAGCTGGTGTGCCTCAAGGTGGGTTCAATCAATCAGAAACTTCATTAAAATGGATTAAATAATCTGTTTTTCTATAGGATGACACTTGCCATCCTAAGAAATTGACTTACCTCATTAATATATGTAAAATGAGCTTTGAATCGATGTGTAGTTTTCTCAAAAAAACACCAAAAATAAATAATATTTCTAAGAAATTTCTGTACGCATTTTCTACAAACCGAATATATTTACAAGAAATTTTTCTTCAGAATCCTTGTTCCTATGTTTTTTCTGTAAAAATCCTTCAAACCGACTAAGGCCTAAGAATGTGGTATTTTTGCAATTCATTCCACTCGTATTCGTCAAGCTCCACATGTCGTGTGTGTAGTGGTTAGAGTTATGTGAAGGTAGTATAGTTGCGTATGTCAGGCATCTATACCTTGTAGTTGGTGTATCTGAAAAAACAATTTTTTTTCAAGAATTTCAGTAGTACTGTATTTAATTCTGGTTTTCTTCGAAAGTGCTTGATTTCATTTGCGACATCTTCAAAACTTAAGCAAAGCCCACCCGTCGTTGCAGCCACGCACCTCTTCTCCCCTCCAATCGCCTGTGAGCATGATAAGAACCTTCCAGAAACTTCTGCAACCAACCCGCGGACCCCACTGGGCTTCTACTCCCCTCCGCCGCTTCTGCGGCCGCGCCCCGGCCCCGCCTGCGCCCGCCGGCGGCGACATCTTCCAATGGAACTCCGCCATCACCTCCCACCTCCGCGGCGGCAGGGTGGCCGCCGCGCGCCGACTGTTCGACGAAATGCCTGAGCGGAACGTGTTCACGTGGAACTGCATGATCTCGGGCTTCGTCCAGAACCGGATGCTCGCGGACGCCCGCAGGGCGTTTGACGCGATGCCCGCGAGGAACTCCGTCTCATGGGCGGCGCTCCTGACCGGCTACGCGCGGAGCGGGAGGGTCGTCGAGGCCAGGGAGCTCTTCGACCGGATGCCGGACCGGAACGTGGTCTCCTGGAACGCGATGATGTCGGGCTACATGCGCAACGGGATGGTCGAGCAGGCGCGCGAGCTGTTCGACGCGATGCCGTCGAGGAACGACGTCTCGTGGCTGACCATGATCTCCGGTTACATCAGGAGGCGGCGTGTCCATGAGGCGAGGGAGCTCTTTGACCGTGCGCCTTCCCCGTCGACGTCTGTCTGCAACGCGTTGCTGTCGGGTTACGTCGCGCTTGGTTGCTTGAAGGATGCCGAGGAGCTGTTTGTCCGGATGCAGAGACGGAACCCTGTCTCGTGGAATGTTATGATCACAGGCTACGCGCGGGCTGGGAGGATGCAGGTTGCGCAGAGCCTGTTTGATGAGATGCCCCAGAAGGACACGATATCTCGGACAGCCATTATGCGTGGGTACTTGCAGAATGGAGACGTTGATGCTTCGTGGAAGGTGTTCGAGGAAATGCCTGATCGGGATGCTATTGCTTGGAACACAATGATCGGTGGTTTCGTGCAGAGCGAGAGGGTGGATGATGCGTTGAGATTGTTTGCTGAGATGCCAAATAGGGATCTCGTATCTTGGAACACGATCTTGCAAGGTTATGTTCAACAAGGGGACATGGCTAGTGCAAATACCTGGTTTAGAAGAATGCCAGAGAAAGATGAGACCTCGTGGAACACATTGATCTCTGGGTACAAAGATGAAGGAGCACTAGCTTTGCTGTCAGAAATGACCAGAGGAGGACTCAGGCCAAACCAAGCCACTTTGAGCGTTGTTATTTCTATCTGCGCCTCTCTTGTTGCGCTCGGATGTGGAAAAATGGTGCATCTCTGTGCAGTCAAAACTGGCTTTGAGCGTGATGCTTTGGTAATGAGCTCATTGATATCTATGTACTCAAAGTGTGGGCTAATCGCTGAAGCCTCACAAGTTTTCGAATTGATGTTGCAGCGAGATACAGTGACATGGAATGCCATGATTGCGACATATGCTTATCATGGTATGGCTGCTGAAGCTCTGAAACTCTTTCACAAGATGACTGAAGATGGGTTTCGTCCAGACCATGCAACCTTTCTTAGTGTATTGTCTTCTTGTGCACACAAAGGCTATTTATATGAAGGTTGTCGTTATTTTAGAAGCATGCAAGAAGATTGGAACTTGATTCCTAGGTCTGATCACTATTCCTGTATGGTTGATCTCCTAGGAAGATCTGGTTTTGTACACCAAGCTTATGCATTCACAAGAAAAATCCCATCTGACCTTCAAGTAAATGCATGGGAGACACTGTTTAGCGCATGTAATGCTCACGGAGATGTTCAGCTTGGAGAAGTCATTGCAAAGAATGTCCTTCAGGCGCAACCTTCTGATGGAGGAATGTATACACTCTTGGCAAACTTATATGCTGCCAAAGAGATGTGGAGCAGTGCTGCCAATGTTAGAGGATTCATGAAAGAGCAGGGCTTAAAGAAGGAGACAGGGTGTAGTTGGGTTGAGCTGAAGGGGGAGGTTGTTTCCTTCTCATCAAATGACAATACACATCCCCTAATTGATCAGATATGCCAGGAGGTTGATAACCTTTCTGTCATGATAGAAGGGGCGATGTGATAAGGTTATGAAAAATGGAACTCTAGCAGTCTGTGAGATCAGTTGACGGCACTGTTGGCTCCAGAGTCCAAAATTTGGGAAAACACAGTCTTTTTTTGTCAGGGGCCGGGGGTACGCCCAAATGAGTTCTTGAAAGGATAGGATAGTGATGTGTTGGAGCCTGTTCAATTCTTTAGCGATGACCCCTTCCAAGATCGTAATCAAGAAGTTAAAAACAAGACAGTGAGGTACTGGAGCCATCAACTCTGCATTAGTGGTATTCCTTTAAATTTCATTCAGACATTCATTTCTCAGCAAAGAGTCAGAGTTTCTCAGCAAGACTACATTGGCCCACTATATCAATATTTTAGGATAAACCAGATAAGAAAAGTCTGCATTGTCTTATCAGCCAATAGCAGCATATGCATACAACTAGATGTCGCTGTCATGACAGGCAAGATATTTTTCCCATCACAGCAATTGGAGACCACACAGTAATGCCTTGCCAAACAGACTGGTACTTCGATAGCAATTTCCCTCCACTACCACACACTGGTACTCTCTCCCTCTCCCCCTACCCCTCTCGCCCTCCGTCTGAACCACCCACCCCCAGGCTTCAATGGCCATGGGAACCAATTATTCAATCTCCAACGCACCATTTACCTTTAAACCATCTGCCCCGCATAAACAAGTACACCATCCCAAACAAGCTATATATTTCATCCCTTTCTTTCCCTTTAAATTTGAGCTTTCTATTCATGCATTTTGTTTATTTTGTGAAGGTTCCAAATTGGAGATTTCCTACAATTAGCAGTGGTGATGGTGCTGGGAGCATTTTCACTATATCAAGGAGGAATTTAAGAACTTGGTTCCATGTCTGCGCTGTCACTGGGGACCAGAGCACCCGTGACGTCTTCAGTGCAAATTTCCCAAGCGATTACACAGAACTCATAGTGCAGGTAATTCCGGTGAAAACTTGTTTATTGACAACTGGTAGTTCCTACAATGTTCTGGGGCCTTTGGTGTGGTGCCAGTTTTACATGCCCATATTAGTCGCTTTGCTTATATGGGCCCTGCATCTCATTGTGTGCAGCTGTACTTGAGATGAACACACACCTCAAATGACCAAATGTTAAATCCTTTGTCTTTCAGGCAGTTGTGAAATATCTGTATACTAGGCTACTAGCTACGCCATTTGTGACATATTATTGAAAAATATTTCGGTGGCCTACTTTGCTTATTGAACTTACCTAGATAAGCAGTAGAGTGGTTTATGCATTGTCAGTTTGTTACGCATGTTACATATTCAATTGGGCTACCTTCGCAATTAGGTGGGAAAACCAACATTCCACATTTAGGCGCAGCATTTTTTAGATCTATCTCTTCATGCTGCAAAGTTATTGTTGCGGACAGTTGTCAGGCAGATTGTTACTCGACGCAATCCTAATCCCTCTGGTGCTGATATTTGGAGTTTCAGCTGGGAACCTCTTTCTGGGCAACCAAGATCTACAACCTTTCCTTCAGCTCCATCCAAGACCTTATGTACTCCAACTGGATATGGAATTCCAAATCCCCTCTAAAGTCATGGATTTCTTCTGGCTTCTTCTCAATGATCGCCTCAACACCAAGGACATGCTGAGGAAGGAATTTACACTTAGATGATGGTGTCAACTGCATTCTTCGCAATGAAGGGCTCCTTGAGAACAAGGATCATCTGTTCTGGACCTGCAGCATCAGCAAGGATAGTTGGGAAACTCTTAACCTCTTCCCTTGTTGTGATGTGATGGGATGGAAAACCTGTTATCCTCTGCCAAAGCCTCTTTAAACCTTTCTTGATGGAGGTCATATTGCTGCCTGGAACATTTGGAAACAGAGAAATTTCCAAGATTTTTGGAAATGCCAATCCTAGCCTAACTCCTAGTCCTTCGTTTTTAAGAACCTCTTCCTTCTTACAGAATGAAGGAGATTAATGATTAATCGACCATATCTTACCACTTGGCTGGATAGCCAGGGCTGAGCTTCTTTGTTCTTCTCTTTGTACTTTCACCTCACCCCCTTCTTTGTAAATGTCGTCTTTTCATACATTTTACTGTCGGGGCCTGCTCAATAGTTTCAGTTAAAAAAGCGAGTAACAGATATGAATGGTTGTGTGGAGTTTTGTGCCCAGCAACTCGACACTATACTGTATCTGGATACTGTAGACTGGATAGAATCCGTGAACATCCTAAATTGGTGGTACAGTTTGAGCTAACCTTGTTGGTACCATCTTCTCTCACATGCTTATGTGGCAGAGAGGGCGATCATATTAAGTCCTTACTTTGATGACGAACAATGCAATTAGTGCATTCACTGTAGCTTGGATAACAGTGTTTCTTCTGAAAGAAGATGCATGAATGATGTTAGGACTAATGGGCTATACCTGTAGTGATTTCAGGCTAAAGAAGCTACAGAATCAGCTTTTAAGGATGGAAAACAGCTATTGGTGAGTGACTGGACCGTCATTCTTATCACATACTTGGCTTTACTTTTTTCTTTTCTCTTCTTTTTTGCCAGTGATTTTGTATATATCATATAATACAGGAAATAGAGTTTCCTACAGCAGGACTACAATCTGTACCAGGTTCCACATAGATGAGCTTTCTGTATACTTAACTTACTATAAGTTATTTGTAACGTGAAAAAGCTCCAATTTGTTTCTGTTCAGGTGATGGCGAAGGTGGAATCGAGATGACAGGAAGCATGCTTCTCATTAGAGAATTTTGCGATCGCTTCGTACCTGCAGAGAAAGTTACCAGGACCAGAATTGTATGTCTTTCTTTGCATTCTTCTATTCATTAGTATCTATGCCTACAATTTAGTTTTGTGAGTGGATTTGGACCTCCATTATAGCAAGCAAGCTTATGCTTTACAGTAAAAAAAAAAAGCAAGCTTATGCAATGGGTACGCTTTGGCCGATACCATGTGATTAAAGTATTTTATTTTGGATAGTAACGAACTTTAAATAGGTATACTTGTATTGTGCTCAAGTTTCTATTCCTTTGAATCTTTTTCCGAATTTAACTGTTCCGTCTCAACATGTTTCAGTTCTTCCCTGAGGCAAAAGAGGTTACTTTTGCGAGACAGTCAGCTTTTGAAGGGTGTTCATTGAAATTGGATTACCTAACAAAACCATCCTTATTCGAAGATTTTGGTTTTACAATGAAGGTCAAAATGGCAGACCGTGTGCGGCCTGAAGACGAGATATTCCTTGTGGCTTATCCCTATTTCAATGTCAATGGTGACCTCTGCTGATTTTTGAAATTTGAGCTATCCCTCCTTACTGTACTGTTCAGTCAAAGTTGAGGTTCGCTGCTATAATAAGATGTCAATGGTGTTTTGTAGAAATGCTTGTAGTGGAAGAGCTTTACAAGGAAGCAGTTCTTAATACAGAACGGAAAATGATTATCTTCAATGGAGAACTAGATCGGATAAGAAGTGGATGTATCCTTCAGTATAGAACTTCATGTTTAATTGATTATCTTGAACGTAGTAGAAACAATTATTCTGTGATTCTGGTTTTATAAATTTGACTTCCTTCATAAGCGAAGATTACCCGCCCTTTTTCTATCCAAAGCTGGGTGAACTTTCCAAGACCTTTCTTCCGAAACTGGAGACCGTATACTATATTCACAATTTTAAAGGGTCCAAAGGGGGAGTACTTTTCAGGTTTGCATTCTTTTCCTGAACATGTTGCTCCGTCCAATCCATATTGATTGTCGCTGCTTTAATACAATTTTAGTATAAAGTTGTACTAAAACAGCGACAATTAATATGGATTGGAGGGAGTATTAACGTTTGGTTTCTCCCCAAATCTACCTTGAATAATGTATAGGTCCATATGTTTGCATGAATAATTTTTAACATAGTCGTATTACAATATATCTTGTGCTTCTGGACATAAATTTGTTAACATCCTTGTTGCGTTGAAATATCAATTCTTGTAGCACTAAAACTCTTATTATTAGCTGCATGACCTTCTACGCATATATAGTTTTTAGGCATTCCTACTTAACGTGTATTATAAGACATATTTTTTTATTCAGCCATCTCGTCCGTACTGTATGCATGTAATAACTCTGTAATGCTGTCTTATTGATGATTTGATATGGTAGTCCGATCAACACAATGCTCTATTCAGTAATCAGTAGGAACCTCACATTGAATAACTTAGCGAAAATATTCTTGTCTGTTCGGCAGGTGTTACCCTGGCCCTTGGAAGGTGCTGAGAAAAGTAGGTGGCAGCTTTGTCTGTTTGCATGAACAAGAGGAGATGCCGTCACTGAAAGAAGTGGCCCTCGACATACTTCCTTCTGCCTAGAAAGTTCCTAGAGTTACCTCAGAGGAAAGGGAAAATAGATATCCTAAAGAAAATGGGGGAAAATGAAGCTTTCAGTAATCATCCGAGGGAAGCAAAAGTCTGCAAGAGTTCTTTCCCAAATGTATATGCTCTAGAGATTCATCATGGTCTTGTTGTGGAGGACATAAAATTTAGGTAGATAGGGAATAGTGGATTGGGGAACGCATGTATCTCCAGTAGGCGCAACACTCATGCCAGGTCAGCTTGTCCTATCTTGGAATACTATGGTGGACCAGATGAATGGCCTGACGCACCTGTGGGGAATTGGAAAAAAAGAACTCATCAATTATAGATTTTTTTCCTGGGGCTTAAACTTGGTACCTTATGGTGGTTATGATATCATGGAATTAATAAGAAATCTTAAATGCCATCCTTGTGTATATCTATGTGGAAAAAGATCCTGATATTGGGGGTGAGGTAACTTGCCTGATGCCTCTGATGGCAGAATTAATGGGGTCATCGAAAGTTCTTCCCCTTTGAGCTCGCCACGGAAGTGTAACATCCGGCATACTCAATGTCTGTTACAACCGGTCTTGCAAATTCCTGTTGGCTCCCAAGCCTAAGCTAAAACGTGAGGAGACCGGGGCACAAGCCAAGTATAAATTGTGAATGTGGCAGAGGCACGTTTGGTGCAAAGAAATGTTTCTACCATGCATTTCAGGGTGGCGCAACTTGTGAAACATCTAGCGTATGTCTCCAATTTATAGCGAGACCTGGCTCTGAGTAGTTGTAGTTGAAATCTTCATGCTACCATATTTTTACTGCTTTCTACATTCTTTTATCCACAGCAGCATATGCATATCTGGATGAAATGCAGAAGTGTGAGGTAGTAGTATTAAATCTTTCTTAAAGCCAGAGGCTCCAGGCGGGTGACTACGGCCATGTCCAATGTGGGGCGCTTGGGCAGGCGCCACTGATTGATTGGCAGTTAGAGCCATCAAATCTTGGCATCGGAGGTTGCGGGGTGCAAAGAGATGCGTTGGGCGCTTCCTTATTTTCTTCCCCACATTGGTGCATAGACAATTTAATTGGCGTATGATTAGCTCCCATGGTCAGGTAGGGCTCTTAGTTATTTTCTAATTTAACAATATTATTTTTTCCTCCATAAGTGCCTGGTCAGGCGGCCGGCCTTGTAGATGGCCTAAATCCTAGCATAAACCCTAGCCGCCACTCCATCTCCGCACCCTGGCGGCGTCAGGGAGACTAATGATCGTGGGGGTATGCTATGGAGGGTTCGGTGGATTGTTGTGGGCCGGCAACGGGGATGCTCCATGCAGTGTTAGTGTTGCAGCGCAACGATCCTCAACGAAGGCCTGGCCTGGCTAGGTCATCGGAGAAGAGGGCGTCGGTGCATGGTTCTGAAGGGTGGCGAGCTCGACATCAATGTTGACCTGGCATGCAGTAGCGTGGGTGATTTTTTTCTATTGTTCTTTAGGTATTCGTCGTGTTTGATTTGAGGTATCAAGGCAAAAATGTTGCCCCAGTGTAGGAATAACGTTATCCCCGCCCTTTCCCTATCCTGTTTGTGTGCTTATCACCGGTGAAGGGTGTGTGGAGCATATGCATATAAATAGGGATGCCGGTAAGTACCGAACGTTTGTGATTTTCCCATGGCAAATCGAAAGCTTTTATTTTGGCACTTTATATACACAAAAAATGACAAGTTTAGTTGTCAAGCATGGCAATTCCGTCTTCAGTTTGTTGTTTGCCAGAAAATTGCCATGCTTATCAACTAAACTTGTCATCCTTGCATTAACTAAGTTGCCATAAAAAGACGTTTGATTTGCCACGGGCAAGTCCCGAACGTCCAGGATTTATCATTTTTGTACAAATAATATATGAAAGAAATAAAAAGAAAAAAGAGAGTAGAAAAAGAAAAAAAAGAAGGGTTTGCCGAGTGTCACATGGCATAAACTGGGCAAAACATATGTTTGTCAAGTGCCACGTGGCAGGGATTTGGCAAAACATGTGTTTGTCCATTGCCACAGGACAGGAACTCAGCAAACGTGCGATTTACCAAGTGGCCTCCTTTTGCTTAGGAACTCGATAAAGATCATGCTTGTCTAGTAAGTATCCAATGAATGGCAGTCGACAAACAACTAGACAAAAATCGGAGACTCCAGTAGTCTACTATAAAATGCAGAAAAATGTAACATGCGACGCTAATAGACAACCCACAACTTATTGATCTGCTCGCTGCTTTGGTCTTTCCTGTACTGGCGGTACGGTCACATCTCTTCAGTGCATCGATCCTCGATTCCAGAGTGGAAAAAACCCTAGCAACCGCAATCTTTCTCTCTCAGCTCTCGGTGGAGGTACACAGGCGCGAACCAGCGGGAATTTTGTTTAGACGCTGGACGACCACTCCGGCAGCGACCCAATATACAATCTAACAGTCCGCTGATGCCACATGATCAAGTCCAAGGTCTCCTTGCTAGGTGCACCGTCTCCATACGCACATGTGTGATGACATTTGTGTGTGCTAACCCCCAGGAGTCGTGCGGCATCGCGGGAGGCCAGCTTCGATTGGAAGCATGATGGCAAGTTCTTTCCCTTTGAGCTCCCCGTGAAAACGCAATATTTTTAGTTCTCGTCGGCTTTGAGCAACGGTCTTGAAAATTCCTGATGGCTCTCAAGCCTAAGCTCAAAGATGAGAAGACCGTTTCAAAAAAGAAAAGACGAGGACACTGAAACATGAATCGAATGTATATTGTCAATGTGACAGAGGTGAGGTGGGTGCAAAGAAATGTTTCTACCATGCATTTCGAGGTTTTGTAATAGTGAAGCGTCTAGTATATGTCTCCCATTTATAGCCTAGCCGGATCTGGCTCTGAGTTGTACTTTATCTAGCACATTCAAGTCGAGTGAGGACATCCTGAACCCGGATACATATGAACTCGTTTAAAAGAATGCATTTTAAAATGTCAAAAAATCCGAAACAAAATTACACGCATGCATCTTCGCAAAATGCATGCGCGGCACAAAGTTTTGCAAAAAAAAAACCCCTCTTTTTAGTTTGCCTCTACAAAAAAGACAAATTTCAGTGCTTTTAAGTAGTGTTCCTCGATATTTTTTAATCTTTTTTGCACATGCCAAAGAAAATGTTGTTTTTCCATGAAACCTTGTGCGCGCACATAGAAGATGAAGATGTGCATGTGCAACTTTTTTTCCGAATTTTTTCACATTTAAAAATGTCTTTTCGGAAGTGGTTTCATGTGTATCCAGGTTAGTCCATGTATTCTTCAATTCAGGTCTGGTTATTTTCTAGGATCAAACAGTTTAGCTTTGAGAAGGATTTAATACCCCCACACTTCCACAAAACTGAGCCTAAAGCGAGGCCTCTCAACGTTTTGCATTTTCGGCCGTCCCTTTTAATGATTTGGACGTTTTTGACCATCGGCTCTACTGTCCTAAGGGACTGCTACTCCGGAAGAAAAAACCAAGCACTCTCGTAAACTGGGCCAAGACAGCACATTTACATGACCAAGCGCTCCGGAGAGGAACAGATCGGGGCTGCGGGCGAGCCGTCTTCCCGTCTTCCACGAGGGGATCCAGCACGAGGAGTCCAGCGGACGCGTGGGATGCGAGTGCCCGATGCTTGCGCGGGATGCTGCGTGGAGTCTCTCTCAACGTCATGCCGACGCCATATGAGTCGCGGAATGTCCTCCCGGTGGACGCAAGGGCTCTTCCTTCGGCGGGCATGGATGTGCCTTGCTGCTAGGATGCAGAGCCAGGTTTACATGAGGTGAATGCTAGCTCTTCACCTTCCTTTATCTCTGATCCCCAACACCCTTTGTAATTTGCCTTTTTCCCGTTCATCACGTCCTGCCTCATGCTTTGTTGGCACAGGCCCGACCTCGACGACACTGTTGTCGAGTACTTTCCGACAATACGCAGCGATGTACAAGCTACAGCCGATTGCTTCCGGCTGCTTTGACAGAGACCCGCACGTACAATAGTAAACAAGCAGGCAAGCACCCTGGTGGATGGATTCTTGTGTCTAGCTAGCTAGCGTAGACCAAGTCGACGGAACACAATACGCGGAGTCACCGAGTTATAGTAACAGGCTCGTGTCGAGCCTTTGTACTTTTATTGATTTGATCTGGCCTTGGTAGTGCTGATTACAACGGGGTACATGAGTATTTATATTAGCTAGCTAACCTACCAACTAATACAAGTCCTACTCGGTGAAGGTCACGTAATCCTAGCCGGACACATACGTACACAAGTACGGGAGAAACCAAAGTCGGGTTTAACTCCAACATGCTTGACAGGTATTCTTTTTGCATCCACTAGGGCGTCTACATCCAAGGGCGTCTCACATGGAATTACGAAACCTTAAGAATTAAACCGAGCAAAATTAAACAAAACAAGAGTTCAACCCAAGCACATGAGACTACATATGATGATGAAAACAAACACATCATGGCGAAAATATATAATTAAACTTCATGAACCTGAAGAGTGAAGAACTCCGAATAAACACAACAACTAAAAATAATTCCTCTTTATTTATGTAAATAAATGAGCGAGCCAACGTAACAGCCAACCAATTAGCCAAAATCAACACAAGGCCCTTTTTATTGCTGCATACAAAACTTCTATATAGTGTCTAAATAACATGTGCTTTTCATGAAAGATTTCAACATCTGTACCAATAGTTTATACATACACAACTGTTGAGTATATTGTGTACGTGTATATTTGTGTGTAGGGCCCACCTTCTGTTTCCTTTGTATAGTTGAGGTTGTGGCCCACCTCTATACTTATATATACGTGCCTGGTGCACCGATCAATACATCGAGATTGCACAGCCCGTAACTTGTCCCTCTACATGGTATCAGCCTTTTCGGTCTAACCCTAGGGTAGCCGCCGCCGCCGCGCCTCCACGCGCCGCCGCTGCCGCAACCCACCACCGCTGCGCCCTCTCCCTACCGCCCCGCACCGCCGCCGTGTTGGGA